AAACTCTACCTTTGAATTACTATACGGGCGGCTGCTGAGGGAGCCTCTAGATCTGATAAGGCAGTGGTTACCAACCTTCTTTCACTTGAGTACCCCTTGGCAGCCCATTTCCATAAATTGTACCCCTCTCATTAATAAAATGTTTGTAATTAATATATTTGCTTCTATTTCAAATGTATATGTTTTTCTCTGTCCCATCTCCTTTTTCTCTTCCCAAGGCTCTCCCTGCTACTCCTCTGCCCCAGGCTCACAAACTGTCACACATAAACAAACACTGACACACATATAGATACAGATACAAACACATACCTGTAGATACACACACAGATGCAAACACTGACATATGCAGATACACACACTGACATACAAACATACATAGAGGTAAAGATGTACAGACACACAGATACAATGATACACAAACAAACAGATAAAAACACTGACATACATACACAAACACACAAAAACATACATACAGATACACAGACACAAACACTCACACACATACATATACAGGCAGAATAAAACCCTGACACTCATGCAGATACACAGACACACATACAGATACACAGATACATAACATGACACAAAGATACATACACTGAAACATATGCAGACACAGTGAAACACAGATACATACACTGACACACAGATATGCACCTTGACACACAGATACAAACCTTGACACACAGATACATACACTGACACACAGATACATACACTGACACATAGATACAGACACTGACACATAGATACATATACAGACACATATACATACACATGCCCTGACACACAGACACATGCACACACAATGACACATGCACACACAATGACACATGCACACACAGATACATACATTGATACACATACCCAGATGTCCACACTGACACATAGACATACAGATACCGACACTGACACATGCAGATAAAGATATACTGAGACAGACATTGACACACAGACATGTACATACCCTGACACACAGATACACACACGCAGATACACAGACACATAGATACATACTGTGACACACAGATATATACCCTGACACACATGCAGATACAGAGACTCACAGATACAGACACATACAATGACACACCGATACATACACTGACACATACCCAGATGCTCACACTGACACACAGACATACAGAACATACAATGACACATACAGATACAGACACCGACACACATACAGATATACACACACCAACACATAGATACACACCCAGACACACATGAAGATCCACGGACACACAGATACATACACTGACACACATACAGATACATACCCTGACACAGATACACACACTGACAAACTGATACACACTCTGACACACATGCAGATGCACAGAGATACATACACTGACAGACAGACATACAAACACATATCCTGACACACAGATATACACCTTGACACACACCCTGATACACAGATACATACCCTGACACACATGCAGATACACAGACACAGATACACAGGGCCGCCATCAGGGCATGACAACCATAACGGTTGTCATGGGCCCGGCGGTACTGGGGGGCACGGATTGCTCAGGTCGTCCAGGCCCCACATTCAGTGGTGTACATACCGGGTCGCAGGGGGCCCTGTGACCCCGGTATGTACCCACTGGGCCAGCCTCTTCTCCTGGAGGGCCCAGAAGCCGGTCACCTCAGGGCCCCCCAGAGGCTGGCCCTGCTGACACCCGGCAGGCGGGCGCGCGAGGAGCACTCTCCCTGGCTGAGTGCTTCCTCTTCAGCTCCCTCGCGCACCGCACTGATGCCGGAAGATGACCGCCGGGTGACACCACTGGACCCCAGGGAATCCCCTCAGCACTCCTACAGGTAGGGAGGCTTGGGGGGATGGGAAAAAAAAAGTATGTGGAAGGAAATTTGAGGGGGGGGGAGAGGAAGGAAATTTGAGGGAGGGGAGGTAGATGAAGGAAATTTGAGGGGGGGAGAAGAAGGAAATTTGAGGGAGGGGGGAGAGGAAGGAAATTGGAGAGGGGGAGAAGAAGGAAATTGAGGGGGGGCAGAAGAAGGAAATTGGAAGGAGAGGGGGAAAAGAAGGAAATTGGAGAGGGGGAAAAGAAGGAAATTGGAGAGAGGGGGGAGAAGAAGGAAATTGGAGGGAGAGGGAGGGGGAGAAGAAGGAAATTGGAGAGGGATGGGGAGAATGAAATTGGAAGGGGGGAGAAGGTAATTGGAGAGGGGGGAGAAGGAAATTGACGGGGGGAGAGATTGACATCCATCACACACACACAATGCACCCCTTGCACACAGAAAAACACACAATGCATTACACACAGACACACATACACAAGCACTGCATCCCTTACACACAGCAACACACAATGCACCCCTTACACACACTCAATGCATCCCTTACAGACGCACACACTGCATCCCATACATACACAAACTCACCTTGCAGCCCTTACACATACAAACACAGATTCACACAATGCATTCCTTACACACATCAGGACATCCCCCACACACACACTCCACACCCTGTGAACAAACTCATTGGTGGAACATGAAGGTTCCCAGACCTTGAGCTGTGTAAAGGGCCCTCAAAAAAATGGAACTGCTTCCCGTTCTCCCACACTGATTTTTGTGACCACAGTTACAAACCGCCTCCAGGGAGCCTGTTCTACACCAGATCAGTGAAGCCAGATGGCAGCTAGAGCCCATCATCATCCTCATCTGGTTGTAAGTAGGCAATCTAGTATATTATTCGTGGCACTAATCTCTAATTTACCTCACATTAAAGGGACACTATAGTCCCCAGAACCACTGCAACTTAATGTAGTGGTTCTGGTGTCTAGCCTGTCCCTGCAGGCCTTTTAATGTAAACACGGCGGCACTGCAGCACTGGCGTTAGTTAACATGGCAGATCATATGGGTGGGGCATTGTGATGTCACATGGGTGGGCGGCAAACTTTACTTTTGCCTAGGGCGGCAAAAATCCTTGCACCGGCCCTGCAGACATTGCATCCCTGTGGACGGACTGGGGGGGGGGGAGGGGGCAGCACTTTGGGTGAAATCAGGTGCAGGCACTGGGGGCCCAGACCTTGAGCTGTGTCAGGGGCCCCAAAATTTCTGATGGCAGCCCTGCAGATACATACACTGATACATGACCTGACACATATTGACACACATGTGCATACCCTGACACACAGATACATACAGTGACATATATACAGACACACTGACACATACACACAGACATACAGGTATATATACTGACACATACACTGACTCACAGACATACAGATACATACACATACATACACACACACACACACAAACGCTACACACACATACAAATACACAAAAACACATACATGTCAGTTTCCTAACTTTTGGCTCGCTGGGTCTGGTGGGAGTTGGGGGCCTGCTGCTCTCCTGGTCTGGACCACCCCGCCCCCTTCTCTCCCGTGCAGCTTGTTCAGTGTGAGAGCTGGGAGGACGTAGTTGCAAGCTGTTACTTCTTCCCAGCTCTGGCTGCACTAGCACAGTGGTCCGGTCGCCCGATTAAAGCACCGCAGGGTGCGACCAGGCCCCTGAAGGCACATGTGTATCAGTGCATGGGCCACCCGATACACCAGGTGCATGGGCCACTCGATACACCAGGTGCAGACTGGGGGAAAAAATTTAGCCCAGTGGGAAGGGGGTAAGGCCAGAGGAGGAGGGGTGGCTGTTGTGTCATCACCAATGACCTAGAGCGGACCACGGGTAACCCGACTGGTTACCTCCGCTAATGCCTTCCTTCAGCCACTCTGGAACTATTAAAACAAACAGACGAAACATAGTCCTGGGAGTCAACTGAACTGAACTCTTTAATGGGACATGGTACAGCCAATATATCCACAGAACCCCAGCAAGGGGTCTCCATACAATTACACAAAACTTTCACCAATGGGAATACAGAATAGGTCACAGAGAAATAACAGAAACAAAGTGATTCCTTACACTAATTACCACGTCCCCCTGTGCCAACACACCATGACAAAAAAAGATAATCTTGGTTGGACCCCCTGTCCCTTCAGAGCAATCTCTGGTTACATCAACACAGCCCTTTGCTGTAGTTGATAGACTTGCTGGCTCCCACAGCAGGTGGTCACTCACAGTGTAGCATTTAAGTTGATTAACACACAGAATACATTTCACCCCCCCTTTGTTGACCCATAGCTGCATATACAGAAACACACACTGCTCTATGTAGAATACAGGCACACAACACAGCGACATCTAGTCACATGGAAAACAGTCAGAAAAATGGCGCCGCAAGCTTGTGGCCTGCGCCAAACACCACATATCTCCCCCCGTAGAATTAGACAGACTTGTAGCCAGACCCACAACAAGTCTCTTGGACCCCCCTGAGTCCACAGTCCAAGTCCTTGGGGGTCCAATGTGACTGGACAAGTGGGTGGGCACATGTGGGCATGGTACTCAGTGATGACGTTCCGTCACATATGGGCCACCCGATACACCAGGGCCTGACTGGGGAAAAAATTTGGCCCAGTGGGAAGGGGGTGAGGCCAGAGGAGGAGTGGTGGCTGTTGTGTCATCACCAATGACCAGCACGTTCCCCTCAGAGTGACTATTAGTTCAATGCTCCTCCAGGGCAGCCAATGCGCAGAGCACGGGTGAAGAGCTCTTGCATGAGAGAAGACCCTGTATTTGTTCTGAGCAGTGCAAGTGGGTTTAATGACACGTTTGCACTGCATTTGCTTGTGACTTGTCTCTGGTGTCTCCATAAGTAGGATACCAGAGGACAAATGGGCCAGGAAAGAGTATTGTGCATATGTTTCAAAGCTTGTTGTGGAATTGTGTATATATAGAGAGAACGGATTGTAAAGTTGTGTTTGGTGTAAATAGGTTACTTTCGATTGTGTTGTGTTTGTGGTGTAATGTGTGTGGCTAGGGGCTGTAGAGAGTGTGTGCATATAGGTGCTGTAATGTGTGTGCATAGGGGCTGTAGTGTGTGTGTGTTTATAGGTGTGTAGTGTGTGTAGTGTGTTTAAGGGGCTGTAGATTGTGTTTAGGGAACGTAGTACGTGTTTTCCGTACAGGGGATCTAGTGTGTACATAGGGAATGAAGAGTGTGAGTATATGGAATGTACTGAGTGGAGGTGTGCAGTGTATATCATGGGTGCAATGTGTATGAGGGGTGAAGTATGTGTGAGAGGTTCAGTGTGTGTGTGTGAGGGGTGTAGTGATTATTAGGGGTGCTCTGTGTGTGTGTATGAGAGGGGTGGTGTGTGTGAGAGAGGGG